GTGCGTGCTGTTCTGACATGCGCTTTTTATGAGTGCATACACTAAAAAGTCTGTCAAACAGTGCCTGATTACTGGAATAAGTTATTTTCGCGTCATGCTAATACTGTCAAAAACACACAAAGTTTACATATAAACACATCTGGTCATGTCTAAAGTGAAAGTAAACAGTTGAGAGAAAAACGGATGCATGCCTGATGTTAGATGCGTCTTAAAGTGACAGCAGACTAATAGTGCTAAACATGCTGCTGCTTGTCATTAAAAGGATAGTTCACCCAAAAATTTTAATTCTGTCATTATTTACTCACTCTTATGTTGTCTCAAACCTGTATTAATTTCTTTCTTGTTAGAAGATATTTTGAAGAATGTGGGTAACAGTTGCTGGTCCCCGCTGACATAGGAAGGAAAAAGTAGTAGGAAAAAAATGCTATGGTAGTCACTGGGGACCAGCAAGTGTTTGGTTACCCATATTCTTCAAAATAACTTATGTTCAACAGAAGAAAGACATTTTTGGGTGAACTATCCCTTTTATGCTACAGGATTTTAAAAAATAGGCTCATTTTCCAACTCCCTTAGAGTTAAACAGTTGAGTTTTACCGTTTTCGAATGCATTCAACCGATCTCCGGGTCTGGCGGTAGCACTTTTAGCTGTAGCTTAGCATAGATCATTGAATCTGATTAGACCATTAGCATCTCGCTCAAAAATGACCAAAGAGTTTCGATATTACCTAGCTGGGGACTATTTTCAGGCGCTGCATAATATCATTGCGCCTGCTGCACCCATGGTACGGCAGCAAAGTTCCTTGATTATTACGCCGGAATGAGAGTATAGTTCCTAGCCATATCGGCCTAGAAAATCGCAACTTTTCATTTTCCGTCGGTCTTAGTACACGATGTAACTACAGAAGAGACAAGTTTTAAATAGGAAAAATATTGAAACTCTTTGGTCATTTTTGAGCGAGATGCTAATGGAATGGAAAATGGTTCTTCAAAAGACGATGTTGAATTTTTTTTTTTTTTTAAGATTGTTTCATTGAAGTTAGGAAAAAAAAATACCCTATCTATCACTCGGAAAACACCTTCTCAACAATGCCTTAGAAACCATTTAGAATCAACCCACGAATACCCTAGAAACTGCACAACAACACCCTAGCAACCACCCCAAAAACCACAACAATGTTCATCTAACCATCTATCCATCCATTAATCCATTCATCTAACCATCCATCTAACCATCTATCTCTCCATTCATCCAACCATCAACCATCCACCTATCCAACTACCTAGCAATCATCCATCCATCCAACCATCTAACAATCTAACCATCCATCCATCAAACATCCACCCATCCATTTAACTATTTAACCATCATCCATCTGACCATCCATCCATCCAACAATCTAACCATTCACCCAACAATCTAAACACTCAATCATCCATCCAACTATCCATCTATCTAACAATTATCTATCCATCCAATTCATCCATGCAACCAACCTTCTAACCATCTAACCACTTAACCATCCAGCCATCCATCTAGCCATTCATCCAAACATTCAACCTTCTAACCATCTAATCATCGAACCATTTAACCACCTTACCATCCATCCATACATCCATTTAACCATTCATCCATACATCCAATCTTCTAACCATTAAAAATAATCTAACCATTTAACCACCTTACCATTCATCCATACATCCAACCTTGAATGAATGAATGATGCATTTATATAGCGCCTTATTGTATAATGCTGTACACCCAAAGCGCTTTACAATCATGTGAGGAGGGGGGGGGGGGGGCC